AATGAAATTTTGTTGAGTTGTACTCTCCATGATTATCTGTGCGCAAACATCTCACCTTTTTTCCAATTTGGATTTCAACTAAGGACTTACAAGTTTTGAAAATCTCAAATAGCTCTAACTTCTGTTGCATGAAATTCACACAAGTCTCGAATAGTCATCTCCAAAGATTAGGTAGTATATCTTTTTAGAGTGTGAGGGAGAAGAAAAAGATCTTCACTCATTAGAATGTATGTAATCAAGACTTTAATGTGAGCTATGCATTCCACTGCCGAATGCAACTCTTGTCTATTTCCCAAATACACAATGCTCATAAAATTCTAGCTTGGATTGTCTCATGCCGGACAATAAACTCTGTTTGTGTAAAATGTCTAAACTCTTCTCACTCATGTGATTGATTGTGCCACAAATGATAAATCAAATTTCAAGATGTAGTATCATGTGACTCTCCAAAAATCTTTGTATCCTTTAAGATATATAGATTTTTAGCCTTGAGCTCCTCATGAAAATGTGGAAACCATGCACCGCACTCAAAATTCCACTGTCACTGCTCCATTTGAACTCTTTCAAGTCTAATTCTTCAAGTGAGATCAAATTCTTACAGATACAAGAGATGTTCCGTACATTGATGAAGGTACGGACCACCCCATCAAAGATTTGAATCTTCACAGATCCAATGCCAACAATTTTGCAATGTTGATCATTTTCCATAAAAATTGTACCAGGTGACGGATTGAAAGAATTAAGGAATTCCTTAACGTGACAAATGTGGTAAGAGCAAGCTGAATTCAAAGTCCATTCATCATTTCAAACATGTACCAAAGCACAAAGTGCATAATTAGAATTCTCATAATTGTCTTTCTCCCTCGTCTGCGTCCTACTACAAAAAATTGTCAATACATTAGACTATAAAGTGGAGATTGAAAGAGGAATGCACGAACATCAACATCTTCTATTGCATGTCGTTAATCAAAAAGACAATAATAACTTCAATGTATGTGATGGTTTTCTTGTCAAGCTAAAACAACATCCATAATAGGAATAGCTATGAGATCTGAAAAAACACAATAATAGAATCGCTTTTTGCTCATGACTTAAATCTTCTTCAAGATTCTCAAGATCCACGACCAAATCATAGAAGTCATCTACATGATCTTGGATATTAGCACCTTCCGCCATGCTGAAGCTAGTGAGCTTCGAAACCTTGTATAATTGGTTAGAAAGCTTATTCTTATGGTACTTCTCATGCAACCTTGGAAACAAATGTGCTATCTGGTGTCACTTCCAATTGCTTGAAAACTTTTGGCTTGAAATACAATACCATAATACTCGCTGTTTGGTATTGAATGTCATTACAATTATCATCATTTATGTTGTCGGATTGTGGCTTAAACACCTTACCCGAACCCATAGAATTAATCATACCAAGTAATTGTGTAGGTGTCTGTGATGCCAAAAATATCTTTCATTTTTTTTCTAATATTTAACTCATCATAATATATTTTGGATTCATATGAAGTAAATCATATATTAAAACAAAGAAAAAAAAATTTCAAAAAAATTATGTAATCAACAAATCAAATTTGAAATTCATTAAAAGATTACATCTTCAGATTTAACTCATAGAATTATGAAATTTTTATTTTTATTAACAAAAATAATGAACAAGGTTGTTTTTTATCATAATTAAATATTAAATCAATTTGAAATGAAATAATATTCTTTTCCAAAAAATATTACTGCAATAAAATCCTCCAACATGATTCATGAAATAATTCTATTAGTAAATGTATAAATCATCCATTTTGCTATCAATAAAATAATTGTGAATCAAAGATAAATAATTTTTTTAAGTTATGTTATCATGATGCAAAACTTTCTTTATACAATAATAGCCTGACTTTTAGATAGTGTCAATAATTTTCAATTTTTTTCGAATATTGTATAGACACAGTCAATTCAAGTAATAACTCTATCCAATTTTACTTATTATTACTTCTGTTTATTTCTGACATTTAATCATATTTTATCATATAATTTAACTTGTGTTAAAAATATATAATTATTATATTGATTATGATATTATTATGATTTAAAAAAAAACTTTTCTCCTAAAATATTAAAATTTTATGCTAAAAGCAATAGCTAGATGTACAATACTCTAGAATACAACTATGTAGGTTAATGAAACTATGATTTTTTTTAAATCATACAAACAATAGTTCATGATAGATGATTAAGTTTTGATCATTTTCACCAAATATGATCATTAGTCAAAATAAATAAGAAACATGCAAGGGGAGAAAGAAAAAAGTGCTCTTGATGGGCCAAACACCAATCACTTCATTTCAAGTTTTCACGAGAGCAAACCAAAGGAATTGAAAAAACTTTATCATTCCATAAGACTCCATCAACTTCAACTTAATGAGTACAAAAGTTCAACTTTAAGTCACTTGACAACAATGAAGGTAGCATAGCTCAGCACGGAGGCAGTGCAAATTCTATTTTGACAAGTTATGTAGTGTTAAGATCTTTTATATGATCATATTTCAACCTATGATATCTCAAATTATATTTGATATTTTTCAAATTTTATGACAGAATTTATACCATTATGGATCCATATTTGATCATAAATTTTAAAATCTCACAAAAGTTAATCATTTTTCACATTATTGTGCCAATTTTCTAAGACTAATATTTAATTATTTATCATTAAACTTGTCATGTTATTTACCAATTTTTTCTAATTATTGCATAATTGATAATTTATTCATATTAATATGAAATATTTATTTAATATTTAACATTTTCAATTTAAAAATATAATTATGAAAATTTCAATTTATTAATTTAGTCAAGTATAATTTTAAATTATGTATATTTATTGAAGATAAGAAAAAATCATATATCTTGATATAAAATTTTGCATTAGCTTTTGCATGGATTTCTTCTGAACATCAAAATTTATAATAGAGAATTTTTTTATTTTAATTCAAATGAAGCTAACATGTGTACTTAATCATGAAAAAACACTTTGTGTGATACTTACAACATCATCAAGTTTAATTTGAAGAGTTTTGATAGAACTTTCATTCTAAACATCAAAATATCATGAAATAAACTTAGATCAACATTTTTTTAGCATCAATGTATAACTAATTTCACATTAAGGTAGATTTTTTAATTTTAACCCTAACATATTTTATGGCTTTTAATTATAAATTTAATTAAGTAAATAAAAAATATAAATGATTTATTGTGTGTTCAAATATTTTAGCATCATCAAATTTACATTGTTTACATAAGTTTTAACACTTTTTTACTTCAGAAATTTAGATCACATATCATAACATTCAATACTAATATGCAACAATAAAATCATAATGTCTTACTTGAAAACTTTATTGTACAAAATGTATGTAAGCTTGTATGAAATCATTAATTGTTTCAAATATAACTTGAAAAGAGTAAAATTAGTCATTAAAAAAATTTAAACTAGAATTTTTCTTTATAGAGTAAAATATAATAGATTGTTTTTAACAAAATATATATGATTGTTTGTGGATTCAATATATAGTAGGCATTCTTTTAAGCACATTGATTGTTGAAAAGAGAGTTGATTGAGACTAATATATGAATGCATCATGTAACAATTATTCATATTGCATTTATATTCATTCAAATATATATTATACACCTCAAGTGAAATATACAACCTCATAGTTGAACTTGGATTGATTTTACATTAATTTTTAACTACTATAAATAATAAATACTAATTAGAGAGAGTTATATCAATGATGAAAGTTATCAAAATTATCAAAAATTTACATCTAAATATATCATCACTTACAAAGTTATTAAGCTTTCTTTTGTAGAGATCTTCTACTCAACCAATTTAAAATTTTTGCAATGTTATAAAAATATAAAGAAAAAAAATTGAAAATCAAATATGTAAATGTGACATGTTAGCCATATTCATACTTAGTCATTATTCCTACAATATTATTCCAAATTGAATTTTTGTGATAATGCTTTGAATCTTTATTATGTCAGTACATGCAATGAACTATATACGGTAGAATAGTAATGAGTAGAACTGCAAAGTTTGTTCATAGCCAAAATTTACCAATTCATTTATCAACATTCACTATACTCCCTATTTCAACATATCAATGTCAATAACACATTGATTTACATCAGCCATTAACAGTTTGTTATCTTAGAGTTTAGCTGGCCCTAACACCAAGTTATTCACAAACTTCTCTCAATTAGAGATGTCATTGCAAGCCTTAATCAAACTCTTTCAAAGATAACATTTTCTCTTGTCTACTCTGGAGATCATTTAAGATAACATCTTTTCGATATTTTATAAATAACACTGCTCACACCACTAGTGTAATACCAAATGATGATAAATAGAAAAGATATGTATTTCCGAAGATCACATTCTGTAGTTTTTCTTTCAAATTACCTTTAAAACAGCTTTTTACGAGAGAATTGAAAGTAGTGAGAATGGAGATGTCCAAAGTACCCTATTAAGCATCATTAAGAATAGTCACTTTCGCTTTGATCGTTTGTGCTGCGTTTATTGCGTGCGAGCGGGGTTGTTACTGAGGATGACAAGCCAATGGCTACGTTCTCGGTAACAGAAAGTATTCCAAAGACAGCTTTCAGCCTCCGTTAACTGAAGGCATCCATACAAATGAAGGTACTGGAACGAATCTCGAGATCCTGACAGGGTTTCGAAACGTAGGTTGACTCTTGTGGCACTTTGAGAGGGTATCATTTTGTCAATCCTGTAGTGCATAATTGTCAATACGGTATTGTAGTGTATAATTATCTACACAATGATGTAGGGGTTTTATTCTTATTATTTCATTCGTGCTTAGTTCGATAAATTATTTCCATGGATTTTTTAATCAAATTATTCAAGCATCTCGGTTTTTCAACAAAACTAAACTATGATTTTCAACGTCAAAATTATACATTTATCGTTGCCAAAAGTTATTATAGCTAAATACAGAAAAAAATCCAACACCAAAATATCGTAAACTGAGTAAAATACATTTTCAGGTAGTTGAGATTAGCGCCCGGTCTCATTAGGTTTCTTGCCCTACCTCGCTTAGTAATGTGTTCCCACCCCTTTCTACTATGTTACTCGGTACTTCGTCATTGTTGCTACGTGAATGTGGCGTTGTTCTAACAACTGTCTCCATCTCGCGTGCCCGAAGATCACTAATATTGCGCATCTACATTCTTTCCATAAGTCCGCTCTAGCATTCTATGCAACTAGTTCCTGCAAAACGTATGCTATTCCATCCAGCTCAAGAGATCTCAATCAGAAGTTCGAAACTCCAAAGAGCTAATAACAACGAACATTTGAATCTGATTCCCAATGGCAGTCCGCCTTCAATTTATTTCTCATGCCAAATTTGTCACTAACCTGCAGGCACATGGAGTTGAGACTAACTCAGAATTCGAATGACAAGATTTTGTACATGTACCACTCCAGTAGCTCCTTGTGAATTTAGTATTAACACTGCTGAAGGATGGCGCATGAGGAGCTCGTTCTCCGAGAACTAAACCACCACCTTCAGAGTAGGTTCCAAGCTCACTTTCCGTATTTTAAAATCCAAATAGCTGGGGATGATCCGGCTCAGATACCGTAAGAGCCTTAAGGTCTACACTCGGTTCACACGTTTGACAGAAATAGCCTTGGACAATTGTCTATACAATTTCAGGGTTGACCAGAGATCACGAGGCTTCACGTCATCTCCGCCCAAAAATCAAGATTCATATCCACCCTGTTTCTAGTCTTTTTAGGCCATTACCTACTGTACATCGGCCCTTGAAGTATATTGTCTTCCTCCTGTCCACGTGTGATAAATTAATCTCGTGGCCATTGCATTGAAAGAAAGAGGGAGCTGTTGCCCTTATGACACAAGCAATCTGCTTGCCATGGAGCTGCTCATCTAGAAACCCATGTACATATGCAAAGATGGATAAACATCTCAGGCCCACACAGATTTCTTGCCACCCAGTCAAGAGGAATATCAAGATTTAGTTCAATGCCCTGAATACGCACAACACCCTCAAATTGTTTAGCGCTCTGCACTTTCAGTCCTTCCCACAGACCTCCGGTAGTTGATAATAATTTATCCTCATCTCCGAATTCATATAGATTACCACACGGATCTTGTGCATTCATTCGTGACTCTTCTTCAAGTGCTTCGTGAGAATCACCTGTCTCGTCCGCACCACATGGTAGAGGTGCGACTACAACAATATCTCCAACCTCGGGCTCAAGTTTCTCATTCCCCGTGTCCTGATCTGATACCTCGCCCAACTTAGCTGGATCACTTTCGGCACTACTTTCAGGACTTCTTCGACTCTCATCAGATTCATTGTTGACTATCGGAGATTTAGATGAGAATAAATGAGGTACAACTTTCATCAATGCGTCTCGCAAGGTAAGTACGGTCTCTGAAAAAAACACCATGATTCAGGTCATGACATCGTGGATTTTTTTTTCACGCATTCCAATTCAACGTACTAAGAGCAGATACGCCAATCAAATTCCACGTCTATCACAAGGAAATATACCCACGTTTGCAACCATGCTCTAGCAGCTTAAAAGCGTACTGATGCGAAGACAATGTTTGATGTAAACTGTAATTACCTAGGTCGAAGCATAGGACTGAAATCTTTTTCGAAACCTTCTAAGCAGTCCCGACAGATTAACTGACGGTTTAAAATTACAACCAGTTGTATAAAACATAATCGATGGAGGAAAGTAACTGAAGAACTACCAACTTAACCAAAACAACGACGCAATCGTTTCACCTAGTGCTGAAGAATAAGTAGAGATGAAAGGTAAAGGCTGATTACAGGAAAAATGAAGCCAACTAACTGTCAATGAATAAAGAAAAAAAAGACTCATGTAAGACAATTAATATCAGTACTGTGAGGCTCGAAAGACTTCAGAAAAATTCGAGGGTTTCGAAAACTACCTTTGTCCTTAGGAACGTCGATCGGTCTTGTCATGTACACCAACTGGTCCCAGGAATCAACCGGGGAGCTATCGCAAAAGTCATCAAATTTCTCTTTAACTGATCGGATGTAAAAACGCATTGGTAATCTCCCGGGTCGGACCCCTTCACCTGCTTTGTGCACCAACGATGTAATGTCAGTTCTTTTTCCAAGATATACATACGTCAGCAACTCCCACTTTCAACCTTACTAATTTGAGGAATGGGAGCAGCCTTACGCAATCTGTCAACGGAATGGAAGAAGTAGATATTTACAGGTGCACATGACATCTTGTGGCAGAATTTGACGACTAAGAAGGCTACAAAGATAAAGCGTATATAAGAAGGGTATAGAAGAAGTGACTAAAACGTCTGACGATTCCAATCCACAGCAAAAGAAACAATCCAAGAAGACTTGAAAACGTTCTCTTGCAGTCTTACTTTGCCACTGTATCTTTTCAAACTTGAAACAAACAAACAAACAAGACTTGTATCTATATGGGCCACGGACTTCGAATTCGGGAGTACCTCTGGTCCGCTTGTTTTCTAATTCTGAATCGGCACTACTCGGTCGATGTGAAGCAGATCTTCCAGTATTCCAGGGAGCATTAGAATTCAAATTCATTCCAGGTTTTGATCGACTGAAGATATGGTCATAGCTCTCCAAATCACCTGCGAAATGAAAACAAGGTCAGAAACGAGAAATATGAAGTCTCAATGAGCGATTGATGTGACTCTGCATACCCATAAATGAAAAATAACATAATAATAAAAAGATATACTTGCTCACGATAGGGCAGTTAAGATTGCACTAGAAGCGGCACAAGGGCCTTGTTCGAAGGAGAACCTCTATTACAGTAAAAGACTTTAATCGAAGGAGGAAATTTTCTGCAGATGAATACAAGACACGTAAATAGGACAAAAGGTCACCACGTAGCACCTTTTACAACACTTTTCCACAGGTCGGATTGCTCCGTTTGTGATAAATTCATTACAGACTTGGTGCTCCCAAACATGACATATGATGCCTGCACATCTCATTGGTGTGTGAGTGGATGAAAGTCTTTCAAGTATAAGCTGCTGCATATATAATTTTTTTTTGACACAAAACATCAATGACCTACCTCTTTCAGAGCGTTGACAAAATTCCATTTAACCGAATCTTCACCTTCACAAGGACTCAAAAGATCAAAGGGATACGCTCGAAAGTGAACCTGGATCATTTGGAGTCGCAAAGAAATTACTATTGATTCAAATTGAAAATTAAACAAGAAAAGTAGATTTGACCTTTGCAGGAAGCATAAACCATTTATTCCTCACGACACTCCACTTGTAGGTAATTGAGTTTTAAATAACTGAACCAATACCGTCAAGTTCCAAGGTCTCTCCGGTTCTGCACACAGCAAGTCGAAAAGGACGCCTGTGGGTATGTGCCTGCAATTAAGCCAAAACGTAGTGCGTGAGACATATTCTGAGTTCAATGTTGACTGCAACATACTCAGACGAGCCCAGAAGGTATTTTGTCCAAAGAAAAAACACAACGCGGACGTACACACATAACTTGAGCCGCTTAATCCCAATCGGAGGAAGGTCAACTTTAGTTGAACCGTGGAGCTGTTTCCGACAGCGATTTGCCTTCCCATTATTTCAGAACCCCATACGAGAAAGTACTTCACATCTCTCAGTTTGCTTACGGGCTCGAAATCAAAATTCTCTACTTAAAATACTGCGAAAACTGAAGGGCAATTCAAAGGTCGAGATGATAAACAAACCATTTCAGCGGTAAGCCTTCGTAGTCGAACCAGATCGTGTCAGAGCCGGGGGGCAGAGTACTTTGAAAGTGAGGCTTTATTGAATCGGCTAAGAGAGGCAGATACCCATTTCGAGGAGCAAGAATCTACAGTACAGATGGTGCATGAACACCTTCAATCATATTGTCATCGGTGGCATCATCCTTTTCGTAAAAGCAATTTGAGAGAAGGGAAAATAGGCGTGCTTCTGTTCTTTGACGACAACGATTTCAAGTATTCATACCAAAGTTATAAAGTTCTGTTTCAACATCGTACCGTGGCAGAGTACCTTTCAGAATCTATACTCTTAAAACTGACATTGGATTAAGCTGGACTTACCAATAAGGGCGTGGGTGCAGGAAGGCTTGTCACTTCTGACTCGTGTAAATGGACTAATAAAGGAATTGCACCCATCCAAACATGCTTGCGAGCCTCAAAAGCCCTAACTGCAAAGTCTTCTTCACCAGTCTTTCCATCTTCATCTTCATTCCCCATCAATATTCACAGCATGAACAAACCTTGGGACAGCAAGCGGAATCTTCAACCACCCTGCAAACCGTCTGTTTGTCTGGGTCGTTCCGCTCTATATCGGGACAAGCCAAGCCAAACAATCATAATTCAGCACAAACAAATTCGCCGTCCGCATCATCTGAACAGGGACATTCGTGAGATTTTGCGACCATGTTATTGCGAAAGTTGCACATACTGCACTACCCGAATTTAGTGAGCAGATTTTTGGTATTCCTGTTACCCATTCCTTCAATTCACATCACCCTGACTCAAAACTTCGACTCTTCAACTTCTGCAGAGTTCCTTACGGACAAAATCCAATTATATTGCACAGTATACCGATGTACAATCTAAGCGAGAGAACTGCGAAGTGAAGTTAAGCAATTAATCCATGCATTTTGGGTAGGTTTCAAAGAGAAAGCCATCGTCAAAAAGAAGGAAGTCTTTGGAACTCACAACCGAGAACAGATGGAAAGAGAGCAACAGAGAGAACAAACCTCGTGACACAACTTTGGGAAAACTACAGATGATTTCAAACACCGGGAGAATCTGCCCGGTCGCTTGACACCGAATCGAGATTCTTCGGTAGCAGCAGCACCGAAATTCCTTCCTGTGATCGTACTCGAGCTCTGTCTCCGCCTTCCTAGGGCTTAAGCTCCAGCTCCATGTCCAGCTTCTACTTTCGCCTGCTTCTGCTGTACCGTGGGATCGTTCGCGCCCAGCCTCCTCTACCTCTCACCTCTTCTCCGACTTCACTCTCGATTAACTACTACGAGGCGAAGATCAACTAGCAACGCCCCGTTCCACATTGTTCGTACGATTCGTGCCTTCCTCGTCGAAGCGTACGGAGTGATCACTGGGCGGGATCAACAACCGGTGAACTGCATTGTGCGTCAGCATGCCAGATCAGAGCTCGCAGCACGCAATCTGGCAACAAGCCGTAAGTCCAGGACTCCTTTCTAGCTCGAAGTCCGGTGCGTCCTCTTTTCCTGATTACGTCCGTCACAGCCCTTCGCGTCATTGCGCCGGATCTCTCCGCGAAAAACAAGCGGACTCGACCAACTTCCCTACTTATTGACACAGATGTGATCCAATTAGAATAATTGAATAATTGGCTCCTATTTTGCATGCAACAAAAGGGAAAGAAGAGCGCGGTTGATTCCAGAGCCCCAAGTCACTCATTTTGCTCTGTTCAAAAATGTATACAGGTGTGGATTTAGACTATTCTATTTTTGTTAAATTCCTCTCATAGACTTGTATGTATAAGTGCACATCTGTCATTGACCTACTGCATTACTCTTGACTTGCCATATGGGCTGACGCTTCTTATGGATCTCATGTCACCACATACAACAAGAGTAAGCATGTACATGATATTGGAGATACATGCAATCGGAAACACAAATGATTAATCACGAGGACTGACTTTCTCTTCTGGCGCTGGTTTGGGTTTTAGACGGCTTTCGCCGTGTAATCTATCTGACGGAGATTTCATTTCCGAAAGCTTTGACTCTGAACGTTTGGTCCTCATGTTTCTGGGTTCAATCGTAATGGCTACAAAGTCTTGAATAATTATGATGGTTGGAATTTGTAGTACTTATGTCCTATCTCACACTGTAGGGCTTAGCCATTGGGTTCTGTCGGGGCTTTTCCGTTGCATCCCATCCGATTTCCCCCCTCTATATTCATGAAGGAAATGGAGCCTCCATAAGCTATGGTCAGCTATGGCTCGGAAAGGATATTTGGACCAGTATTACAGAGCAACTAATAAGGGTTCTATTTATGGTCCGGGGCTTCTCCTGAGGTTAAACCTGGTCCGAAGGGGAGGAAGTGGGAGAGGGCAAGGGGCGGAGAAGGTGCTGGAGCCCTAGGGGAGCAGAGACTGAGCTCGAGACCAATCGTAGAAAGGGAGTTTGGTGCGCAGTAGGTGCCCTTGCTACGGAAGAATCCCGATTTTGTGTCGAGCGAGCGAGCAGATTCGTCCGGTGTGTGGGATCTTCCGCAGTCTACCCCCAGAATCTGATACAAGGTTTGTTCGCTGTGTTGCTCTGTTGCCATGCGTTTTCGGCCGTGAGTTTTGGAGGTTTCTTTCTCGTCGACGATCGCGTGCTCTTTGAAATTCCCTCCAGATTTATTTCTCCTCTCAGTTCTCCAGCTTCGATCGTTCATTGCTGTGATCCTCTTGCATTCCGAAGGTTCTTTTCATCAATTTTTGAAATAAGTCGACGAGTCGAAGCTCTCAATTCGGGTGATGAAATTTAGTGACCGGGAAATGTCAATTTCGATATCGCGGATGCATCAGCTTGTTATTAGGCTGTATCAGAAATTTCGACTTCTTTTTTCTACTCTCTCCATACGATTAGTGCAGTTTGTGCAACCTCCGCGATGACGATGATCTTCCGAGATTCACACGAGGTTTTGTGCTCAGTTGATGCAGACGGTGAGATTGTGTGTGCTGAATGATGAGGGTCTGGCTTGTCCCGAGAGAGAGTGGAAGGACCTAAGAGAGGAAAGATCACACAATCTAGGTCTCGACAATCGATCAGTCGTTTGCTTCTATCTGCTCGAAAATCTGTGAGGAGATCTGTGACGATTCTGATTTTGGAGTCCTCGGTGAGATTCCCCGGATTCTCGAGTAACAACTTCTGCTCGGTTCATTCCGAATGGACGATGAATCCGGTTTCTCTTTTTCCTGTCATGGGCACTAACGATGAGAATGTGCCTTTGGCTTGTAGGGCAATGTCAAAAGCGAAGGGCATAGCGACAGGGGCGTTGAAGTTTTTCAAGAAGCCATGGCAGATCACTGGCCCAGCTTCCAGCCCGGAGTTTCTGGAAGCACTTCCAGATGCTGCGGATTACCGGAAGCATGCACCTGCCACACAACCCAAGCGTGTATTCGTCCCTCAAGCGGAGCCTGAGCATGTTTTTGACATCAAGTACTACACGAGAGATCGGAGACGCACTCCTCCTACTACAACGATGCTGGAGGTATCCCCTTCGGAAATTACACTCGAAGGTCTTCCTCCTGTGGCAGGCAAATGGTACGAGGCGGGCAAGCTTCACCACTTTTCTGATAACCCCGGCGAGGGATATCAAAAATGAGAGATGTCGGTATTGGACAGATGAAATTCGCTCCTCGACTTGTGGTCACTGTCAGCAAACCGCCACGAGATGTCGCTAGAGCTGAAGTTTGGAACTTGTAAATGCTGGGATTAAAAATGTTACTACCTTCTTGGAGTCCTCTTGGAGACATCAGGAATTCGATTATCAAATTAGGTACCTCGATATACAGCAAAAGCAGAAGCAGGTGGTGCTGTGGTTCTCTTGCAGCATGACCGAGCCGGTTGCAGTTGTGACACTCTGCAGACCTTCAAATTCAAGTTGGTGTGGAAGATCATTATAAAATTGAGAGGCGGAACGCGCCATTGTCTCCATCCTGCAGCGAGGAAATGTCAATGCCCTTCGCTACCAATTCTTCTCGACCAAAGCGGTCCGAATGCTTTTCTTTCTCGCGTGGGTTAGATGAACCAAATCATTGAACATCTTCCATTCTGCCTCTCCTTCATGTGATCTTGTGAGCAGAACGTTCATTTGGCTTAGGTTTCTGCTATGGATGACTTGTAGACAATGTGCCTTTCAGTGCGAGCGATCCGGTATCAAACAGGCTACCAAAATCTGATTCGGAATAAGACCTCATGCATATCCATGGCACAATTTATTCACTTTGATTTTCTAATGAAGAGGTCGTTTGCATCCTTCACAGCAGCTCTCCTTCATCACCACGGTGCTCTTGTCTGAAATGCATATTCTTCTCACCAACTCCCGGAACTTCGCAATTCTATCAACCATCACCAGTTAGTTTCCACATGATTTGTTCCGTACATCATGATCAGAGCCTTCTATCGGCAAGACGACCTCTCATTTGCATTGATTTGCATGATACAAGACAGACTTACAACGCGCATGGCAAAAGCCAACGCGCGTTGGCAATTTTCTCTCATTGTCACAGCAATCGCCAGACCTTGACAGCCAGCGTGCTTTGAACTCAAAAGAAGCTCGTGGGAAATCGATTTTGAAGCGACTCCGTACACATGAGCCTCACGGCTTTGGAAACGTTATGTTTCCACAGGGTTGCTATGAATCTAACCGACCCTTCGCAGCTATGAATGACTATCAACTGTATGCACGAGGCAACGAATACTCATGAACTCACGTGTGAATGAATTACCTCGTCACACTTTTCCTCGGCAGGCAGCCAGTCCTTCTAAGCACTGCACTCTGAGTTTCGACCGTGCAGCTGAGCTGGTCGCCAATAGTTGTCGAGCTCTTTGCGGACAAGCTGCTCCCACCTTTAAGAAGAAAGTTCTCTCCGGAAGAAAGATTTGAATTAAATTGGGCATTACGATTGCCATTAAACCCTAGATAGTGCTAAACCCCCACCGTCTGATTGATACGGGGGCGACGTCCAAGGCCACGGCATAAGTTAGAGCAACTGGAGCTGCGTGTCTAGGATGATTCTAGACGTACCTCGCCATTATTGTGCGGTTTCCTGCCATCAAAGGGTCTTCACTGGACGACGCGGGTGATGCGAAGGAGAAGAATTGCTGAGAATTCGAGTCGCAGTCCTGGGGCATCGAGATGTGCACTGTTGTCGGAGAGGCATGAAGTTCTTGCTCGGGGCAGAGATTCGTGCCGTCCTCGTGTGGACCTGAAGCAGCGCTGTATGTAGATTTCATATGTTTTAGATGGCAATGCACGCGACTTTTTCCTGTCGCTGCGTGGCGCCTCTTTGTCGATCAAAGCTTCCGGTGAATCACAGCAGCGTAAATTTGGCTTCGTCCTCGAGCTCCGCAGAAGGCAGCGGTTGGAAGCTTTCAGAAAATTCAGGGTTCGGAATCCGAGCGATTGCTGTAGTTTCTTCTCCGAGAGCTTTCTTGGAGAAACTTTCCGCTCCTCTGCCTTTGGAAGGACCTCCTTCTGGCGGCCCTGAGAATAGTTCTGCGTCCAAATCAAAAGTTGTACAGCAGAATGGGCAAAATTTTGAGGGGTCGCTCCAAAAGCCAAGGAGAACGTGGAAAAGTCGGACGGGGAGAAATATCGGAAAAAAGTACGGGGATCGGATGACATCAATCTTAGAAACATTGAATTCAGATGCTAATGTCGAGAGAGCTCTGGAATCGCTGAAAGTGAAGCTCGATACGAGAGAGCAATCCGTAGTGTTGAATGAGGAGAAAGTATGGACCAGGGCGCTGGCAGCATTTGCCTGGTTTAAGAAAGAAGAGAGCTACCGTCCTAATGTGATTCATTACAACATCATTCTCAAAATCCTCGGTAGGTCACAGCAGTGGGAACTTGTAGATGACTTCTGGGCTGAAATGCAGCAGGAGAAGATACTCCCAACGAATGTCACCTTCAGTACCCTGATCGATGTGTATGACAAGGCTGGGAGGAGAGACAAGGCAATGGAGTGGTTGGAGCTCATGAAGTCAAGAGGAATACGCCCTGATAATGTGACCACCAACACGGTCTTGAATGTTCATAAAAGACATGGGAATCTTGCTGCAGCAGAGGAGCTTTTCAAACAATCGTGGATTCCTCACCCTCGGCTCGAAGATTCCAACGTCAGAACAAATGCAGATGGTCCTGCAGAGGGTTCAACAAGCACTGTGCCAGCGGTGGACGTGGAAACATTCAACGCAATGATCGACATGTATGGTCGGACGGGGCGCTTTGCAGAGGCTTCGAAATTTTTTTCGGACATGATCGAGGCTAATGTTGCCCTTGACACTGTCACCTTCAATACGATGATCAAAGTATGCGGCTTAGCTGGGCGACTATCCGAAGCAGAATCCATGTTTGTGAAAATGAAGGACATAGGAATCAAGTCTGACTTGGCTACTTACAACACTCTCATTGCAATCTTTGTCAAGGTTGGGAAGTTGGAGACTGCAATGGAGTACTTCGAGAAAATGAAGGTAGATGGGTTATTACCAGATAACGTCACATATCACACTCTTCTGAGCTCTTTAGCTTCTAGGGACAGAGTCAAGGACGCAGAACTATTATGTCACGAGATGGGGGAAGCAGGTGTTACCCCTGATGGGAGCGTAAGTGTAGGATTAGTTAGAATGTATGTGAGGTTGGGTCTCCTGGACGAGGCTTCTAAGATTGTGGAAAATCTGTTGGTATCAGGGATTCTCGAGAGTGCAAGCTACGCTGCCATAATAGACGTGTACGGTGAACACAACTTGTGGTACGAAGCTGAATCGATCTTCCAGGCCTGCCGACCTAAGTGGACTGTAGGAATCTGCAACACTATGATGAAAGCCTATGGGCTGTGCGGTTTGCATGAAAGGGCCGTGGAAGTGGTTACAATTATGGAGGGACGTGATCTGGTTCCAGATGAGATCACATTAAACACACTGCTTCACTCAGTAGTAGCCCTTGTACCTTCTGACCTTGGAAAGGTAGAGATTACTTTAGCAAGGATGCGGAGGATAAACTGCAAAATCCAGCGGTCGACATCCAATTTGCTGATAGGATTTTACGCCAAGCTCGGAATGGTCAAAGAGGCGGAGCAGACGTTTAGGCAGATGGAGGCAGACGGAGGAGCATTAGATGTTGAATGTTACGGAGCATTGTTGAATGCGTATGCAGAAGCAGGCTTGGCGAAAGAAGCTGAGCAGACTATCGTTGAGATGAAGGAGGCTGGTTTTTCCCCCAACGAGGTCGTGCTCACGACTCTCATGAAGTTGTATGGTAGGATAGATCAGCTGGAAGAGGCGAAGAAACTTTACTTGGACATTGAAAGACAGCTTGGTACTCCAGACGTCTTTGCAGCTAATATGCTTATCGATATGTATGCCAAAAATGGGAAGATCAGGGAAGCTGAAAAGGTTTTCAAGCAGCTCGAAAAGACGGCAATTTTCAATGAGGTAACGTTGAGTACTATGCTGGAAATGTACCGAAGAGCAGGCTTCATCAGGCAGGCTTTAGGGATGGCAACGAGAATGTTAACAAAGGATCTCGTGAACATTGGCTCATATAATACTGTACTGAGCTTCTACGCGTCACTTGGAAGAGCCACTGAGGCTACGGAGGTATTCAATTTGTTGGATTTGAGAAGCGTAACTCCTGACATTCAAACACACACCATCATGTCGGGCGTTTTGAAAAGCATGGGATCTGTGCAGGAGGCGATACATCTGCTTACCACAGATGCTCCAGTAGGTCATTCTTCAACCCTGCAATCCCTCACTGCCCTTGCCAGCCTATATGCGAGGGCTGGACAGTTTGAGGAGAGTTTTGAAGTTTGCAACAAGCTTCGGCATGGCAGGTTCAGCCTCGACACTGCGGCTTACAACGCCCTTATTTTCTGCTTCGGAAGTGCTGGGAGGTTTGATGAAAGTCTAAGGCTGTTTATGGAGATGCAATCGAAAGGTTTGAAACCTGATGCAATCACTTACACTACTGTAATTACCGTGTACGGGAAGGCCGGTTTGTTAGAGGGAGTAACAAGAATATTTAAGCGAATGAAACAAGCAGGTTGTGAACCTAGTATGGCAACGTACAAGGCAGTTATGGATATTTACAGGGATGCTGGAAAAGTGGAACTTTCAGCTATGGTGTACCAAGAGATGAAGTTTACAGAATACCTTCGTCAACAAGGTACCAGTCATTATAGAGACATATCTCTGGGAGATGAAGTATGACCTTTGCAGCTCTCGCGACTGGTTTGTTGGTTGTCGTCCTGCGTGGCGATCGAAACCAGATCGGCAGATTTCTGGCGGACTACATGGCAGACATAACTTGCTATGGAGTTTTTATTACCCTCACGAGCTGTTTGACAACTCCGTTGTGTGGAGGTACACTCCATGTTTTTCCATGTTAATTTCCATGACATTAACCATTTTGTTCTCAGCTGGGGCCGACTCCGCATTAGAATAGGCTTAATTTTCATACGTTTTTTCAATTTTTTGTGTGACTTCTTTGATGCAATTATTTTACGACTTCTCTGAATGTTACTCATATGTCTATATTATCCGCTCGTGTAGATTCATCAAGAAAAGAGAGCGACTGTGGCAAGTTCTCTTCTGTTTGTTCCAGACATTTCAGGAGATTGTAGTCAAGTAACAGCTAATGTTAGATTGTGTCTTTACTCCTTGGTCCACAACAGGAACAGTGGATTTGACGTTTGCCAAAATTGCCGCAATTCCTAGATGGTGTGGGTTCTTACAGTTTACCGAGACTTGAAAACTTAATGTTTTCCATATGAAACTGGAATGTAAGTATGGGTTTTTGTTTGCGCAAACCATGAAAAATTGTTTGTTCTTGTTTTGATCGAAGATCATGTCTTGCAGTATTGCAGGTTTGGTTATCAGAGAAGCAGCATGCATCTCCATACCAACAAAATTCATGCTATTTCTACCTTGCAAATCGACATTCTTACTGTGATGAGTGCGTGTCATCTATCTTGTAAGTGTTTTTCCACCTCGCTAACCCTTGCTTCATTTGTTTCAGCTTTCTATTTGCTCCCACTGTACTCTGCGCTCCTGATGTACCAGGGTATGTCTAGGTTTTTGAAGTTCCTCCACGATTTGGACTTTGTGACTTCGCCCGATCGACGTCAGATATTCTTAGCATTTTCACATGAAAATGCTGATGAACTAGGCGATGTCTTCCGAGATGGCTGACGTAGATGCTTTCAGTCTGAGAAGTAGATGGGTATTCGAGATTCACGTTTGTTCTTATGGCTTCTTCGCTGTCTTGTGTAGATCATCTCGCCTTTGGCTCCTGTGCTTTGAATTCGTCATACCTACTTCAGATCTTAGGATATGTTGGTGTTAGTTGGAGCTGAAATAATGTTTCAAATGTGCCAAGCAAGGGTCCATGACTATAAATCGATTCTTTCAAGGTATCAAGAGTTTGGGTATGGTCTTTGGGGAAGCTAAACCACTGCCATTCAATCTTGTGTGCGCGAATGTAGCTTTCTGTTGGACATTTTTCCTACTTGGTTTGGCCATTTACCCAAATAATGTCTTATCCATCGGTACGAGGCAGATTGAGCATCGCAAGAGGGGCCTATCTACGAACCTCAAAGCCGAATGACATCTCCGCTGCTCGAGGCATTTGAATGTTAGAGAATACTCATTGCTTTTGAATAGGCCAAAAAGGAGCTCCTTTTCATAACGTGAAGATTGTACATAATTTAGGGAGAACATGCAACAGAAGTTAGCATGTGAAAGATCTCAACTCGAATCATGCTTAGATGTTTCAGAGCACATTTCAGCTTGGAGACTCTTCCTCTTGGTATCATTGTATCCCCTGCATTGCAGTGTTTCGAAACAGCGGCGTCCATAGCTACGTCACAAACGAGTCTTTGCCGGACTCATTGTGAACCTTCGTGATTGTCTTTGTCTTAGATACGGTGTAGCTACAGGCCCTTCAAGTAACTCGGTGTCTGCTTGCTTCTCAACTGCAACTTGCATCTTTCTGACATCCATTTTGTCCCCCTTTAACTTGCATCTCTTTATGGTTCTGGTCCGTAACTTTTCCTGTAATATCAAGCGAGATGATTTGAAGCATCCACCTTTGATACAATCAATTAATGATTCTACAACAGAAGTGCTTGCTCACACGTTATAGTCCAACTGAGTCTCATTTTAATAAATCAAAGAATTCGAAGGTCTTGTTGATTTGGAACATTGTTTGAAGGTTAAATTTGTATATGAAAGTAATATTTCTTCTTCCAAACTTCAACTTGCTTTCTCCTATGGTTATAGGTCGGAAACTTTTATCTCATATCAAGTTAGATAGTGTTATGACAACGAACTGAACAACGAAATCCGATGCTGTAAAGGGGGATTGCCACACTCCGATTATACCTAGTATACATACTCCGTAGAGATCGTTGTGAGATGGTCACAAGAGATTTGACTCTTTACCCTCGAGAACTGGAGAACAAACTCAGGTTCTTGAAGGATCTCGCCTCCTCGTAATATGCATCTGCGTCTCAGAAATGCCCGATGTAGTTGAGTACCTCAAGGCCATTTGGGCGGTCCTGTGCGAATAATATTATATAATCTGATGTGAGTCTCCAGCGAAAAAGAAGACCTGTATGTGCCACGCAACCCCAAAAAGTCTGCAATATTGAGTGGAAGCATGTAGATTTGGTCCTTGTATCCCCACCGATTAGCCGAAGACAAAGGCTCTCTAGCTTGATTGTGAACATTGGTTATTGAACATCCTTGTTATGAGATGTAGTAGAATTGCAGCATTGACAATTGTAAAATTAATCATTTCTAACGCATAGTTGTCCTTGGTTCAAGATTATCAAACTACCTTTGTAGATGAGGCAGATAACCATCTTACATGCGATACGAAAGATCATCACCCATCATTTTGGACAAATCATCGTTGCCTGTCATCTTAAATGTACATCAAGTGTTGAGGCAATAGCCCAAGTCTTAAATATATGATGCTGTAGAGAAAACTACTTTCCTTTCAAATATTCATTCTGTACGGATATTTGGATATAAATTTTAATAAACTCGTGAAAAACTGAAAACAATAGAATACAATTTGTCTTATTTTATGATATGTAATATACCACATGATATGTGATAAACAACGTGTTTCTGGTATTCTACGTAGAGTATTGAATAGCGCTATATACATAATACCAATACATCACTTAACATAATATCTAATGTTGTTGTTAGTTTTAAGTGTTTCAGTCTAGACATTTCATTAATTTTTTTACTATGATATCATAATACATACCACTTCACTTTTGACTCTTTATTTCACAACTTGATCAAACATGGCATCGTTTCACTTGATCTTGTATTTTAAGATCTCAATCTGATATTCTACATGATTGTGTATTGATTTTGATTTAATTCGAAATCTCTAATTTTGTGATTGACGTGATTGCTTGCATATATTTTCCAAGAGTGTATCTACTTAGAAAAATATGATTTACGAAATAAATTGACGAAACTAGAAAAGCAGAGCAAGAAAAAACCGAACCATTGGTAATACAAGGCTTTTGACTTGATCGAAGAACTCATCTTATTTATGTGAATCTATTGGATGAATTGACTCTTTGGTTATTAGCATCACAGCAAAATGGTCTAAAAAGTTGAGAAAACTGTTGTGTCATTTGACATTTCTTGATTAAATACCACTTCTTCGTAGTCATAGTCTTGATCTCTCTCACATGTATTTAGTCTTCGTGCGCTTCAATAAATCTATTCAATATTCAATTGCATCTGCATATTGAGTTCATCAAACTTCAGCTCCATTGAGGTTTTAAGTATTGATGTGTCTTCAGTTTGTTTTTGTTGAAGTGTATTCTCATTAATCTCTTATTTTGTTGGCATATGGATGTATCTAATGTGCTAGGATGTAGATGCATACATTTTTCACCAAACAATGGATAAGTGATATTATATAATTCATCATCAATTATCTTATTCTTTGTTATATGATCTATCATAAACTGTTTTACATGTACAAATTTTCATTGTAATAAACTATATGTATATATATATATATGATAAACGATTACTTATTTTGACACTTACAAAATAAATTTGAATAATTAAAAAGTGAATTATAAATTTTTTAATGCTAGCAAAAAACTTTTATGTAGTATTCATCAAGGAATAAAGAAAAAAACAGATGATTTCAATATTATCATAGTGTGAATCTGATGTATATAACATTTACATTATATTTATTTTGAAATTTTATGTATGAACAGTTATAAAATTACAATGTAAAATTTATAATATGATGATGAAAATTTGTTTCATAAAATTTACAATATTAATTCATCAAAATCAAACAATCTAAAATCAACATATTTATTTAATCTGGCGTCACATGAGATCATAGTTCTTTAATATATAACAATTAAATGTGTCATTTGTATGATAATAGAAATATTTACACTCTTCAAACCATAGGAATGAATAAGTCCAAAAGAATAGAATTTCTTGCCTCATCACATAATGTAATTGTTGTTTGAAATAAACAGTTGGCAAGTCATTTTTTAAAAGCAATGAGAACATATTAATAGGCTGAAACCTATATTCTTACATTGCGTACTATGTTAACCTTCAATGAAATACTTCATAAACATAAGGAAGTGTGCATGTAAAATTCCACAAAACTTCAATCATAAGAAAACAAAAAGGTTAACTCTAAGGATAGTCAGATTTTTTAAGCTTAGTTGTTTAGACCATAATTATCATTCATTGTGTATGATGTGTAATCATTTCATAAAAAATGCATTCATGTGTATGCCTGGTATCTGTAGCAGACGGAATCACATTTGCTATGGTAATTTGAAATGTGCTCATTCCGTTGACTATGTATGCATTGAGGTCAACACATACATGTAAGGGATCAATCCTCACAAACATCACATATTCTATTGGAAAGTGAATTTTTCGAGAGATTTGCTTGATGGTATACTTCAGGTTTCGTTTTACCCGATGGGACTCCATGAACAATGCACCATCAGACATGTTCTAATAACGACTTGAGTTTTAGAGAAAATGTAACGAGTCAACCACACCCGCGGACAGAGTGAACTTCGCCCTCCATCACACGAACACTCCCCCAGGTGACGAGCAAAGAAATGCTCATCCGGAGTTTATTTGTTCACCACAAATGGGTGATCGCGAGACTTGAGCTCGAACCACTTTCCGATACAAGCTACTCGTCGCATACACAGGGTTACAAAGGAGTGTGCAGGCGGGAGGCAACAGAGAAATCCACGAATCGATGCAATCGGAAGAATTGAATCACAACAAATTGTACTTCGGTCAAAATCGATCTTTGTGATAATCCACCATAAATTATAATCAGGGATTGATCTCTCATTGTAATCCCCGCATTGTAACTATCAATCATAGTTACAAGAACTATGGCCGACGGCACTAAGTCGTTGGGATTCCATGAGGTAAAACTAAACCTGAAGTTCCCATCAAGCATATTACTTTACGTATGGGTCCTATCAAACAAATCTCTCTGAACTTTTCATGTCAAATGGATATCCCTAATGGCATAATGGATTGCTACCATATGATTCGAGATGATCATCAAATATGCGTGAACCTATGCAATATATACAGTACCTAGTCACGTACCAAAATACTTGTAAAGAAGTGTACCAATCTCGTATCTATTCCCATTTCGTTGTGAAGAAAAATTTGCTATGCAAAATATTTTCATATTATCGAAAATCGTACATGATCTATATGTTATGGATAGAGAAGGTGTTATAGCGTTGAATGATATTGCAATGTAATAGGCGGAAAAATGAACGCATTTACGCTCAGATTCAATCAACTCGCTACTTTTTGGTCCCTGTATACATCCAACGACAGCACACCGGCACAAAATTCAAATAAGTGTTCTTGTCAAAATATGTTACGTGGTGTGCCATCGGGAAAGACAAATGATTGAGAATTATTGATCTCTTCGATAGCTTTTCAGAATTTTGCCATGTCCCTTCGACTAGGTTCCTATCCTCATCTCTTCTCTCTCTCAAGCTCGCGAATAATAACAGCGATCATCAAATTCGGGTGCAGATTTCAAATTCCTGCAAGCGCTCATATCTTCTCTCTCTTCTCTCTCTCAAGCTCGCGAAGAAGAACAGCTATCATCAGACTCGGGTGCAGAATTCAAATTCCTGCACGCACTCATCAATCGATTGAAGCACGAGTTCACAATCAGAGCTCCTTTGCGTGGAGACAGAGAGTGGCGATAGAACTCCACTGAATCTCGCGTTGTGATGGCACGTACTACTTCTGAATCGCGCGGAAGTCAGAATTCACGATTATTCTACCAGAACAACGCAACAACTTCGTGAAATTCGACAATACACACGACGAGTTACACACGAGGATCGGATGAGGGTGCCATACGATGGAGGAGAATCAACACGAGCAGTGTACACCGTGCAGACCACACGAAAAATTATGACACTGTGACACCAAAAATCTGTATTCAAAGAACGCAACAGTACTTGCTCTTGCAAAGGATACACACTATCCATTTATAAAACAATCGCAAACAGCAAGTAGAGTTTCCAAAAACTTGCCGTTAGCTAGAGATTTGGTCCATCTGCTGTAAATCTTATGACGTCCACGTACACTACACTATGTGCTGAGCGTTCCGACTAGTTTCTCCGATCTTCACTGTTTGTTTAACCAATTTGCCCCAAACCGTTCGTCAAAACCACCTTCTAGTAATTTTCTCACTTCTTGAAAGAACTGCGACTCGAAGTCCAGTCAGTTCTCATGTATTATGTACGACTGAGCACTGACTGTCATACATCAGCAGTAAAATACGCAAAAAAGCAGTTTTCATCGGCTTGAAGGCAAGACTATCAAATTGCTCGGGCTGTGTAATCTTCAAGTATCGATGCAGAAATACTCAAGCGTGTCTATTGCTGTACACAGATATTGCGATCGAGGGGAGGAAAACTTTATGCACGATCAGGTGGTCAACAACTTAGTTCCCACGTATTGCAATCGTTTCAACTAGCTTATCTTCCATATACTAAGTATCAGAACGGGTCCAATGGACGCCCTTCATATGATACCGAGAATAAATCTAGAACCTGAATAACGTGAAAGAATGGTTTCTTTTCGTTAGTAAAATACAATAAAATTAATCGTGCCCTAAAATGAATCGAGCCCTTTCAAAAAAAAACAGAAATACTGCCACTGATGAATAATCTGGAGGTGGGCATCTTCATAAAGCTTTCACACAAATCCCTCAGACACATACGACTCATACGACTTTACAGGTAGATTTGAGGTAAATGTTCTGGTGAAACTACTAAGGGAAAACTAGCTAGTTGAAATATACACTTCCTTCTACTATCCATATGCAGCAAAATCATGAAATCTTCTCGTGATAAAAACCAGGTATTGCATGTCGATACAGCAAACTAACAAATTGCAGATTTGCAGCAGAGCTCCAAGCAGTTTACATCCTTCACTTTCAACCTGTTTTGAGATCCCGTTTGCTTGACAGTCAACACATGATTTACAACTGACACATTTTGCCCATAAACACTCAACAAGAAAAGATGCACACACATGAATAGACAAGGCCACAATCAAATTAACTGTTGACAGAACAGGTAAGACAGGAGCGGCTTGATCACCTTAACTCATATCCATATTCAGCTCTCTCTGACAAAACTCTTTCTTATTCTTAAGAAAGTCGTCTATAGATATCTAGTAAGTTGAATGTCAGTACATCCGTATGATCGACAGTCTGATCGTACAACCGTCGACAGCCCGTCGTCATGATGCGGCCCCAAATGGATAACGAAATAATCACTTGCCACCGCATAGCTAAACGCTTATGCCCTACTGCTTATCTTCAGTCTTCAGTTCCTCACCCATGATCCGAAGAGTGTAAACCTCAAACTTGACGTCACCCTAAATATCCAACTTCAATTACTAGGCGACGCGAGCTCTACATGTAACTCACCCTAATGTTAAGGGCGAGATAATCAACTTTTCTTGGCAGACATACAGCAGGACCCGATGCCGACGCTTCCAGACCTTGATGATTTATCCTGACAACTACTACTCAAGAACTTTGCTTGGGTCAATGATAACGATTGAAGACCAAATCAGGCAGCCCCACCATACATACCACCCATCGCAATCTTTCTAACCTTGAGATGAAACTGGATGTATTCATCTTGCTTGAAGCGACGAAAAGCCACTAATCTTGTATATCTCCGAGTCAAGTGTTGTTTTCGTTATTGGATTACACGTGCATACTGAAACCTCACTTGTTGTATAATTTCTAAGCCTATAGTAGCCTCTAACAAACTTCACAAAGCAAAATGAAATCCATACTCGCACCTACACACCTCCTGTCTTTGATAAGTCATGCAAGAATCATCACAAGCACAAATAAGTTGTACCAAATGTCACCTGAACCGAGGGATGAGGACCACTCACCTGGAGAAGAAACAAATAAAGTGCCGAATATAGTCTGCAGAAGTTCATACAAAGAAATCTGACAGAAGTATTTAAGAAGGCACAACCAAGCTATCGATAGGTGAGACTTGCCTCATATTGACGTTTTGGGTCAATGTGTACTGGAACTTGTACATTATTGGTCCAGTGAGAAAAATTTGAGCGGTGTACTGGAGCTTGTACACCTGATACCAACCCAAAGAATTTGAAAGGTGTGCTGGAGCGTGTACGATTTCCGATGCCATTCCAACTTAATTGGTGTGTGCATCCAGGTTCCATTCGAGAGCAAACAAAGGGCACCTTAGCGTACTGAATTGATAGCTCAGATCCCATTGATAGCGGCACCCCAGCAATTGATCTAGGCCATTACTGGTGGGGATGTGTGTTCCGTGCACAATTCAAAACCGCCCAGAATAACTCAAGACGTAGATGCCACGAACAAAGCCTAGGTACATTGGTACAACTGAACCCCGGGGAGCAAATGGGTAAGGTACCGAACTCTGGAATTGAGCCCTTGAGCAACCCTGTAAGAGGATTGCATGCAAACAATGTCATCATTCAATCTTCAACTCGCCATTAGACTTTTATTTTGATCCAATCACTGAAGCCTTCCACCTGCTACCATACATACTCTATACAGAAAATTCCTCTGAATTCCAAACGCGGGATTCTATTGTTCTCTTCTACTGAACATGCTTCTGCTTGACCATCCAGTTCAATCCAAGCCAACTGCCTCAAGGAACTAGCAGAGGCCAACCGGAATACCAACCGGGTTGTTAAACAACAATGGAGATATGAACACTGAATGCGACAAGATATAAAACCAAGACCAGAATCGTCAGGTACTTGCCGTTCATCCACAATTCAAATTGTGGAGGGAGGAGTAGCACTTCGTACGTCATTGCCACAAACATGAGGAAACTCCTAGGCTTTGAATTACTGCCAAATGCAGAATGACGGGTCTAAGACCCACAAAGGAGTCCGTAGACAAACTGTTGCTGCTAGACGGTCTCATTTAATAGCTTACCAGCGTCCATTGAAGTCACGAGTGCCTTCAAATACTGGAAAATCTCATGGACGGCTCAGAATCTCGTAGGGGTCTTGGCTTTCTCAACCAAAACAATACGACCGTTCCATTCTGTTTGATCTAGAGATTTGATTGCTGCGTCTGCATCTTCATCTCGCTCCAAGGTTAAAAATCCGAATCCTCGAGATTCCCCGGATCTGCAACTAAGCGCATCAAAGTAAGTTTCTTCGAATAACTCTTTCCATCCTCCCACCCAGAAATGATAAGCTTCAAAAACGTTTGGCGAGAGACCCTCGAACGTAAAGATGCACGCTTCTTGCCTAGATTACTTACAACATCAAACGTCGGGGAACCAAAAGTTGAGTGCTATATAGAAAAATGAGACGGGTAAGTAGAAGACTGTCCGATGTTGTGTCAAGTTGAAGTATTCACCTCTTGTCTCGCACGATACGGACATCCATCACTCTTCCGTATCTCGAAAACTTTCTCTCCAAATCCCTTTCAGTGGTGATGAAATTGAAACCCGCAATGAACAGATTGTTTCCAGGCTTTCCAACACCATTGCTGCGGTTTTGAGGGGGCGACCATGGTCTCCGTCCAGGTGACCGTCTCCGGCTGCCACGGGATCTACCCGGAGATGACCTCCTCCTCGGCGAATAACCCCTTCCACTGTACGAAAGAAATCGCAGAATCTGGAATTTTACTTCGACACCCTCGAGGACATAATTCACAGCATCTTTCACAACAATTGAGGAACTCAACAACATCTTATACTAACCAGAAAGGGAATGGTTCTCAGAGGAAATTAAGTACACGTACGCTGGAGACCGATCTCGTCGAGGAGACCGTCGAGGAGATCGTCGTCGTGAAAGAGGTGATCGACTTCTACGAGGAGGAGGAGACCGAGTCCTTCGTGGAGGTGGCGTTCTGGTACGAGATCGCTCCCTGTGGGCGCGGACAGGAGACCTCGAGGAACGATGGTCCCTCTTTTTCACGACGCCTTCAGTTGAAGGTGCCCGCCCAGGAGACCTCGAAGATCGATGATCTCCCTTCCTGGAAACTGCTTCGACCGGAGAAGAGCGTCTTCTGATTGGTGTCAGAGATCGTCTCTTTTCCGGAGGAGGAGGGGAGCGCTTCCTGGCAGCTCCTGGTGATCGAGCTCTGTGAGGTGGAGGAGATGGAGCTCGTTGATCAATTGACCTCGCTCTGGAGGACAGCGCGTGCTGCTCGGCGGGTGACGCCGATCGTTTCCTCGTGTGGACATGAGGCGGAGTTGCAGACCTTCTCCGCGACGGAACGGAGGGCGACTTCCTCTTAATGGTCGCGGCCTGAGGTGGTGGGCTCCCCGACCTTCGTCTAGCTCCGCCCACCGGCGGGCTGATGGATCTCCTCCTGCTTGAGGGGCCTGAAGGCGGAGTCGCAGATCTCTTTCTCGCAGACACAGCACGCGATGGAGTTACCGATCTTCTCCTCGACGATCCGGGAGGAGGTGGAGACCCGGATCTTCTCCTGGAAGGGGCAGCAGAAGCAGACGCGGCGGCAGCAGCAGGAGGAGGAGGAGGTGGTGGTGGTGGAGTCACGGACCTCCTCCTGGCGACAACAGGCGCAGATTTCCTCTCGTGAGAAGGAGGAGTCTGCGACCTCCTGCTCCTGGTGGGAGGAGGGGGGCTGCCGGATCTCCTTTTGGAAGGAGGAGGAGATCGCCCTCGCCGACCCGACGGGTGGAGAGGAGACGAGAATCCCTTCGGCCTAGGGCTCCGCCTCGCACCGGGAGGCTGAGGGGGTGAAGGGTGACCGACATTCAAGTCCAGCCCGGTGTCCACAGCCCGATTGCGCCTCGATCTTCGACCCCGATGCGCGTCCTCGTCCTCGACCTCGTCCATCACCGCATCGCCCCCGACGTTCCCTTCGCTCGCCGCCTCCCTGAAACGGGAATGCCCATTCCTCTCATCCTCCGGATCCTCCTCCTTCACGAACGACTGGTTCAGATTCAAAGCCGGCGAGCGCCTCGAGTCCCCTCTCTCCTCGTGCTCGTCCCAGCGCCTCGATGGAGACTCAGGCGCCATCGCTCGGATCCGACTCCAATTCCGCTGTCTAGCTACTCGCTCACTCTCTCTCTACGACTCCAATCCGCAAAACCTCGTCCCCTCGTCGTCGCCCATTCCAGCCCCAAAGCCGGCCCCCAATTCCTGCCTGGCCCTCGTCCCGCAGCCCGCGCAGCTCGCACTCCTCATGAACCTAAACCACGCCGCGCCTGCACGCTCCGGCGCATCGAGCCCAGCCGTCCTCGTGACGCGCTCGCTTGCTCCATCGCTTGTCCCCCGTCGTCCCCGTCGTCCCTCCGCTGGGCGATCAGTCTGTCAGCAGCAGCAGCAGTCGGTGCCGCTCGTCTCTTCTCTTCTCTTCTCTTCTCGACGAAGGCGTTCTGCGAGCTCTGATGCTTCCGACGCTGCCCGCTCCTTTCTCCGGCTTTCTTCTCCTCGGCCTCTGCCACTGCCACTGCCCTCTGACTGTGGCCCACTGGCCCCACTCCCTCCTCTGCACTACAGTCGCGCCTGCTCCGTCCACTGACGTGACGTACTGTAGTCAGTCAGTACGCTGCCGTGTTGTACGTATGTACTGCATCGGACCGCGCAGCGACGAGGTTCAGATACGTTGCCGTTCGGCTGTTCTCCTTTGTCTAACCAGAGCTAGACGGAGAGGAACAGGTTCAATGTACTTCTCGATTTGATGATTTGGGTCTTAGCTCCACTCGTTCATTCGGGATCTACTCTACTCGTGTTCTCTTTTGTTTTAACTTTTCATCACTTTGGCTTTTTGTATTTTGGCTCTCCTCCTCCTCCTCCTTCTTCTTCTTCTCCTTCATCGACTTCATGCTCTATGAAAGTATGAACCATAGAGTTACTGGTCCCTACTATGTTGAGATGGTTCTGCTCTAATTTGGTTTGCATTTCGTGATTAGCGTGTACATCTCAATTGCGTGGACATTTATCGTTTGGTTATTACTCTCACATCTGAAACGGAAAGTAAATATCTAAGCAGATATTATATCTTTGGCCTATACAAAAGAACACAAGAGCTAGATCTAAAACATCCCCTCATCAATCGAATCATCATATGAATATAGCTGCACATACACCCGAATGAAATGGATGACGATTGTTCCGGTATTCTATATCAATTAATCAATTTTAATCTCAAAAATATTAGGCGCATTTTTCACATTATGAAGCTATTGGGGTCTACCCCATGTTTTCCGTGTGGTCTCTTCTCTGTGCGATGTGATGGGTCTTCACATGCTTTTTGTTTCTTTGCCGTGTACTTCAGAAAAGTGGACGACGTTTATACAAGATACGGTGAAGGTGTATCTTCAGGAGCAGACTCATCACCCGCGGTCGAATTTTACCGCATACCAAAAAATCCAAGACTCGCTGCACAAACCATCTTGTGCCACATTGCTCATTTCTCTGTAGACACGTGGAAGACAACCTTCGCTCTTCACGCTCGGGAGTGCCACTTATATCATGGCCTGAAATTGATTCCGTGTTGTCTGTAATTGATCATGCCTTATTCTGATTTCTGAACAGCTGTCTGGCAAAGGAGACACTACAGTCTCTACGCTGTTTTTCAGTCCTTCATATGCTTTTCTCAGATTGATTCCTCCTCTGCATGTCCGAGTATGCTTTTAGTAGTACAAAATTCCACTAAGAAATCCTTTGCTAAAGGCTGGTCTTTTTTTCACTACTCTCTTTTTTCGAGGATAGTTCTTTCATCTCAAAACGTTCACTTTTTTCCTAAACGACCTCAATATAATTCAACTTCTCCATATATGATTTGTTGTTGAAATGATCTTCTTATCCAACATGATGTACAATGTTTGGAAGTCGTTTAAGAGTTCAATTTATGTAAGTAAAAGTAGGAAACTGTTCACTCTTATCACTAAACATCATACACTGAAGTACTTGATAGAAATAAAAAAGTTCCAAGATAACTTTCACCATGAGTTTGTATCCACAAAACTAAAGATGTCTTTTTCGACCAAACTTGGAGTGGTGAACCTTGATGGGAATAAGTTAAGTTAAAACTTGTATTCAAATCAGGTTGAAATGATTGGTCTCCGACGTGGTGACTATTCTAGACGAGAACATTCTGTTGGGTTGGTATGTATCTATATTGTAACTACATTGACTTTTTGGTGTAATGTGATATTTATCTTCGGAAAGGGGCTAGTTATCTCTTAGTTTAATTATCACTCGCTCTACTAAATAATAGAGAATAGAACTATACTATCCTTATGTTTACAAGAGCGCATTAGGTTAGAATAACTAGCCCCTAAATTATTATCTTCGTTTAAAGAGTAAAATTTAAATGAAAGAACACAATTCTACTTAGCAGACGAAGATAATAATTGTGGTCTTTGAAATCAAACTACAGATGTTTCTTTTGACAGCGAGGTGATCGTAGTTATTTGTGACTTGTGCTCTGATGCACATTTTAAGTGCAAGTAGTCAGATTATAGTTTAAAATGAGTTTTAACGTAATCTCATTTCACAATTCAATAAGTTAGGTGGAAGTAAACTAGACTAATGAACTTGACAGTACTTGCATATGGTTTAGAATTGTAAGTTCCACAATGGAGAGCTGTGACCATTTGCTGTTAAACTCTTCACGTATTTGTGTAAACATGTATGTATCGTAATAATTTAAATTGAAAACAATATATGCTCCGCCATTATATACAAGCGCTCTACAAATCTCACACTTATTGCCTTCATTGTCGCGAATATAAACATCTGACACAATTATACATATGCAACTTGTGTGAGTGAGCAGAGAAAAATGTTGAGGCAGCGAAGAGTAGTTGTGAATTACGAACATTGTGCACGTCTAGTGCAGTGCAGACCATCAGACTAGTGCAGGCCATCAATTCTTTCAACAAGGATCTAATGCTTAAGTAAAGATGATAATACAATTGTATCTAAAACAGCCTCCTAGCTACCCAATCAGAAGTACAGGAGTAAATTCACAATGAAAAAGACTGAATGATGTCAATATCATTTCAATAGGCCACCTCACGCGTATAGAATATCAAGAGGGCAAAGTCGTCACAATCACTTTGTCCAAGTTCTCAAATCCGTACGGAAACTGTCAAGAAAACTTCCATCACAATCTTCTAAACACTGATAACGACAGAAAATCCATAAGATCAGGTGACAATTTCGAGAAAAGGAATACCTTGAGTGATTATAGAGGTAATCACTTCTAGTATCAGTGCAAAGTCCAAGGCACAGAGCTGTCTTGAAGTGACACTCCATAGTTAGAACTTACGAGGAGTGGACCAACAAGTCTTATCTCTCGTATACATGTTATGTGTAACTACTAAGCCCCACTCTTCAAGGGGAACTTAATATTCCCTACCCCAACTCCCGTCTACGTTCTCCTTGGATTCTACTACAACTTTTTTATTACCATGGTACATGATCATGAAGCTGCCACTCGTAGAACGAATGATCTTATTACCCGGCAGCGCTCGAATAGATAGATTCTTATACGGTTGTCAAGAGTATTGCAGCCACTGACTTTCCTTTTCCTACGGTGCAAAATGTTAGCAGAATTACAAAGGACAAACTTTCCACTACCTCTCACCAGTTTCGCACGAGATTCGAGCTGATGCAGCTCCTTCAGTGCTCCTCAAACAACCAAAGCCGAAAAATTTTCTATGGGCAGGAACCGAAGCTCATTCTAATTCCTTCTCGACTGCTCCATGGGTTGACAAAGGGAGTATTCTAATCCAAAGCCTATTCGAACATTATTGAGGCCTTTTGCTTCACCAACTCTTCCTCCCTTCGCTGGATTAACCTGAATAGTTCTTTGGCTGCAAGAAGAGAGCTGCACCAGATGACTGAAGTGAAAATGTCCGAGGAAGTAAGCCAATGACCGACGTTTGAGTAAATAGAGTCACAGTCAGCTTTCGGCTGTACCTTTCTCTACTGTTTGGCCTGCATTTAAAACAAAAAAAGAACACGATCAGATTACGTCAATAGTTTAGGGTACTACTACAGCTCTAAACTATGGAGTTATGGTCCCGGTGGAGCACTTCGACCGGAAGGACATCCTTCGCTCTCCAGATAAACTATCAGGGAAAGTAGAGACTCCCTTACACCCTCAAAAGACCGATGGATTTTACCTGAGAATACAAGAATGTTCCGAAGATGGCAATGGCTGCACCAACGGCGTTGATGGGTCGCACTTGGGTGTGGAAGATTATGATTGAAGCTACAATCACACTAACCCTCTTCATCGTGTTACCGATACTGAATGTCAGCGGAGAGATCTCGTTCAAAGACATGTACGAAACCTGGTTGTACAGGTGATAGAACACACTTTGTGCAGCAACCCACCTGCGGAATCAATGTAACGGACAGGTAATTAATACCCAGAGTTATCAACAGGGTGGCGTGATACTCGCAAGTATTCGCAAGTCGACTGATACATGTCATGGATGCAGGTGATGTTTAAGACAACCAAGTCACTCGTCCAAGCTATTGCGAGTTCTGTGAGTAAGAAAACTCCCGCCATAAAAATACAGAACCTCGAAGAACAAAAGCAAAGAAGCAGGTTAACAGGCCTTTCGCCTTTGAACACATACCAGACAAAGTTGGGGCCAATTGCGGTGAGAGCATCCTTCCAGCCAAGAGCCCACATTTGAGGTCCCTCCATGGCGATAGCGAAGGGAGTAAGAAACACGAGGGACAGAATGCTGAGGCAGGCGTAGTAATTCATTCCTCCAACGGATTTACCAACCATTCCCTTCTTTGAGAAGATGTTTCTAAAAACAAACGCAATGTTGGAAATCATGGCTCCCATAAATCCTGCAGGACCAGTTTTCTATCAGTCGACTCCCAAATGACACTGCCCGTGCTTCAACGCCACTTTCCGTAAGGAGAAAGATTCCGAGCTTTAGTAAGAATCATGTAGAGCGTATGCCAAGATTACGATTACAACACACAAGGACAGCTGCAGCGGAGAAGATGTAGAAAGCAAAATGAGGTCCAAAGCATGTTAGCTGAATATGTGACTTGTCGACACTTACCGACCATATTGAAGTTCAGCTCAGTTGCGGCAGCCAAAGCGCAACCTCCGATGATAGGGAGCAAGGAGAAGTAGACAGAGCCAGGGTAACTCTGACCGAAGAGGAGCCGTTGAACGATGACACTGAAAGCTGGCTCGGAACTCTTGATAATGTGCGTAAATGAAACTGCCACTTTGGACATACTGACGGTCGCTGCAACATGCCCAATGGTGTGGGCCAAAGCAACCTGTTCAAAGGCGAAAGCAAGTTTATTAAACTCTATCTGCTGGAAGAGAGGGAGACAAAGGCACTGGGAAAACTATTCCATAGCAAGACCTCAAGGCGATTATCTCCGGAAACATATATACGCGAAGGCAAACAAACTAATTGCACTTCTACAATTTGTTTGTGTGCAACAATGACTCTTGCACTTCTAACGCACTTCCGTGTCCGGCAGATAAGATAAGACATCTACACGAAATGAAACAGAGATGTACTTACCGGTGCGAGGGCCTTCCAGAAATCAAAGTCGACATCGGGTTTCTCCGCAAGTCCAGTGATCCATGAAACGGCCATGATTGCGACACCGGCAGCAAGTGACAATGTAGATGTCAACCAAGGGAAAGGAAACACATTCAGAACTTTCTTGTTGTAAATGTTGAAGACCACGTTCAACGTCCACCACGTCACGAAGTAAATCCCTATCTTCAACCTCTGAGCGGAAGCTTTCTTGACGTCTTCGGGACTGAGCTCGGCCGCAGGCTCCACAAATTCTTCCTTACCACCAGCGGCATCGTATGCCTTGGCTTCAATTCTCAATCCCGACTTTTCATTCCGCGACCCATCGAAGCGACTATTAAGACTCAGACCAAGCGATCGGCCAGTCAAATGTGATTTTTGTGAAAGATTGATGAGAGCGAAAGATTTACCCAACCCTTCGGATTTCAACTGCAAGTGACCAGACCGGCGGAACCCACACGTGGGCTTGGCTACGGCTAGAGGACTAACACCGCATCCTTTGATTGCGGGGCAGCTCCCCCTGTCCAACGCCGCGATCCCAACCATGTGGCGCTGCAACATCGCAACTCCCATTGTCTGCAAAAATCAACTCCCGTACTTAGATCGGGAACGCTATCATTTACAGGCACAACAACGACGATATTCAAAGTGTACTACACATCAGATTCTCGATCTCCTGCGCCGATCGATCTTCCGTACTGCCCAAGATGTGTAGAAACATGTTTTCAAACTGCGTCCTCACATTTGCAGCTTACGGCACAGTATTGACAATACTGCCCGAAGTATTCCGGTTCATGAAGGAAAGAATCCAATTTTCCAACTTACGTGCGGCGGAGTATAAAAAAATTTAAGCAACAACAACCAAAAAAAAAATCACATGGAAAATAAGAACTTATGGTCCACCCAAGAACTGAGCCACTCCTCTCTGGGAGAACTACCGTCTGGTGGAATCAATCTGAAAAGGTGTTAATTGTGCTAACAGGATTCACAACGAAAGCAAAGTTGGAGCAGAACGATCATAGAACCTCGAACCATCGAGCTGGCTCCGACGTTAGGAAGAAAGAAGGGCAGCTGCATGTAGCTGCCGCGAATACGCAGTAGTCAGTATAAAACTCAATACGTTCTTGCATCAGTAGATTACAAACTCCAAATCCAACTCAAGGGGGGGGGGGGGGGGGGGGGCGCCTCGTCTGCATGTGCTCTCACATGGACGGCGGAAGGCGGGCACAGCGCAAGACGACGATGCGACGAACTGGACAAAAAGCGTAGTCGACAGTTGGCAGAAGCAAAACAGTCGATCGGCGCCTCGTTCCGCACAAGGTAGAACTTCCTCCTCACGTCAACCGGGACAGCACAAAATGAAATTACAGATGCACCGGCAATCTACGACACACCGGGGGGCTGGATCTCACAGAATCCCTCGGACGCGCATCAAGAAAGAATGCAGGAGGACTCGAGCAACGGACAGACCTCATCGCAGAAAAAGACGAGGACCAGAGTCTACAAATCCACGTTAGCAAGCGAGCGAGAGTGGCTGCGAGTAAGGGCATGCAATTTGACGTGTGCTGGAGAGAGGAGCGGGCGAATACCAAGAGCCGATCTCGTCGCGCTGCGCAGCGGCAGCAGGCAGGGACACGAGAGCTGAGAAACGACCCTAGGGTCGTGAGCGCGCCGGTGCAACGACGACGACGAGGAAGAAAGGAGGAGGAGGAGGAGGAGAAGAGGAGACGAGGAGGAGGAGGGAGGGAGGGAATGATGATGAAGCTGCAGCACGGGCGATGGGCACCGGGCTCGGTCGATGCTCTCAGCGTCCGCAGGCGAGAGACTATTTACGTGCAGCCAGAAGGCGACTACTGTGAGCGCCACTGCCGAGGCAACGCAGTTCGCTGCGCTGCCGCTGGGCGCGCTCTCGGCTTGCCTCCGCTGCACTTCGCTTCCGGACCCGACCTTTCCGACTGCGCTCCCTTTCTGGCTCGGGCGGGGTGTATGCGAACGCGATAAGATGGCTTTTTCGGCGCAGCGCCTTCACTCTTTCGCCTCCGAAAAGGAGCGGCCGATCGGAAACTGGCCATCGCCAGTCGGGCCCGGGTCCACGTTGGCGCCAAACCCCGGCCTCCGGGTGGATGGATGGGAGAGCCGGGCCTGGAGAAAAAATCTGCCGCGATCCGACGGTCCTCGTATATTATCGGCGACTGCGGAATATCCTGCCTCCGCCCGGGCCCCTCGTCGTCGACTCGACGGTCTACGGCCCGGTCAACTTTAGTAGGTCTGCGGAAAAACGTCGGGCAGCTCCTCCCCACCGTCCGTCGCGCGAGGCAACCATCCGGGGCAGGTGGCAAGTCGGCCCTCTAACCTGGGCCTCCTCTAACCTCCTTCTAAACACGGAACGCCGCAGCCCCTGTCCTGTACGACGTTGGCCGGGCCCGTCCCCCCGGCGTCCCCCGACTCGGCCGCGACGCCGACCGACGACGAGCGACGAGCGACGCCCCGACCGTCCGGCGAACTCGGGGCGAGCCTTCGCCTTGCGGTCTGCGACGCCCCGTCCTGCCTCTGGCCTCCGAGTCTGATCTGGCTCCGCTCGGCCCCCGCGAGTCTGACGTGTCATGCCCCCCCCACAGTACCGTATCGACCCAAGTCAGCCCGGTGGACACGCACGACAGAACAGCTGACGAGGAGAAGGTTCCGGAGCGGGTAGAATTCGATGGTCCTTACCGCAGTGAGTTGCGAACGAACTCGACCCGCGAGCACCCCTCCGTCCATCCAATCACGAGTCCGATTCCACTTTCGGAAGTTGGTCTGCCGTGGGGCCCGCCTCCGAATTTACGGGAGCCCCATCGCGATTTCGGTTCCTTCCTCCGTCGCCTTCGGAGAGTTCTGCTCGCCCGTATGATTACGGTACGATCACAGTGCTCGACTGACCCTCCCGCCGTACAATAATACCTGACAGGGTCTGCGACGATCAATCGATCGGCTGCCGAGTTCGACCGGAAGACATGATTCATGTTTTCCGAGGCAGCTCAAACGAGCGATCTCGTCTTCTGTCACCACCTCGAGAAGTCCACCGGCCATTCTTGGGCTCCAATGGTTCCTAGAGGATAAAATTAGACGAGCCAGAGCTTGGATGCGTTGCAGTTCCCCTCCGATTCTGTTTCTAGCAAGCGTGTCCTTTGTCATGGTAGTTATGAAACTAACCATCGAGAGACTTATCGAAGAGTTCATTTGCTTGTCGACGAGATTATTGCAGCAGTTTGTGAAGAGGAGTTTTGCTTCCCTGTCACAGTAGCAACTGCCTCTGAGAGTGGATGGCGATTCTGAAAGCCGTGTCATTGCTTTCGGAACCCGAGGACTCGATTCGTGCTCCCAAATCTGTTGAGCCTGAGAGTTTGACACTTCAGATCGAAGCAGTCTAAAATCCTATTCGCTCCAATCAACGGTCTGCTCGTCTATGGGACGCAATCTATGACTGGCACATGACGGAAGAGTCTTTATTCCGCGGATATTCGTAGCATTCGTCGAACTCGAGGGACATATGCGGCTAGAGGACCTGGAATAAGTCTAAGGTCCCGAGGTATAGAGGAACACAACTCTGTCCCCTTGACGAGTATAGAGGAATTTTATTCCCCGGGCTATGGTGTTACCTTGGGCTTAGGGACATAATGTGGATAGTTTTCTAGAGAAATGTGCATGTGAAAGTCAACATATATCTCATTTGTCACAAGCTCTTTGTAGTCGGTTTTCCTTTTTAATAATGCGTTCACATATATAATTCTACAAATCAATGCTTAGTCAGTGAAATTTCGTCAACATGATTGTTTTATCATTTTCAATCAATGATACACTCAATTTTTGCAATATATATGTAGATATAGTTTTATTACTATTTTTGTGCAAACATAGCCTTCTCATATCCCATATACTTTCGATCACATTCTTTATTATAGACAGCAAAATTTTAGTTATGACAAAATGATCCGTTGGGAAACAAGTCGCCCTTCCAAAAACATAACAACGTAATCTGACCACGACTACTATTTCTGAAAAACATACCAATACTTGAAAGATTTGTAAAGTCTTTGGTTTCAAAACTTAAGGAGTTGTAAAATCTATTCAACCTTTCTAGCACGAAAATATACCCATGTCACCATGAAATTTGTCTTTTATCAATTCATTGACGCTGGATGTTGGAATATCTTTGAACCATAGGATCTACTCTATGTGTAGCATGTCAACTCAAATATGACTTACAGCACATATAGTAAATGGCATATATAAATTGAAAGGTTTTCTTGGATCCATCAACGCCTATTGGTTGGCATGGGATCTTGTAAATACCTTGATACCTCTAACACTCTTGAATCATTTCAGGTGTGATCTGCCATCGTGGAAATTACTTAAAGTCACTCTTCACGAAACAGCTTGACTGCCCATGTTTCTTGGAATCGAAAGTTTTAACGGCGGTATTTTCAACCGCCCATTGGTCACTAGTAATGAAGTATGTTCAAAAGTGAAGAAACTTTTACTCTGCGGGCGTATGGAACTTTAAGATATTTTGTAGTATCGCCATATTTTTGACCTTCACCTGGGTTGATGGTACAGTATTTGGTTTCACCCAACTTTCCCTGATCTTGATCGTCTCTCTGCTTCTGTCCTACATACGTTCTCCGCAGTGCTTTCGACAGTTCCTTCCTGATCCTGACCTGTAGCATTCTGGCCTGAAGGGCAGAATCTACTCACGATTTACAGCGAATGTCTCTGCATGACTGACAAGTGCTTTTCAGGGTTGTGTGGTATCCTTGGGAGAGATCTAAAGATCTGCAGCCATTGAGAATCTGGCGCATCTCTTGAACCCTGATCAGCCATTCGCCTCCCGTTGGAGATCAGACTACGAAATCCCGTTAAGCATGCACACAACCTTGAAACAGCTGGTCTGCAGTCCAAAGGAGCGTCTCTTTTAGACCCATCCGGTTGAACAACGATGAGAAAGTTGCCACTTGGATTGGTCGTTGGTAACTGTACACTTTGGCCACTGTCTGCTTTGTCAAATTCTTGTGCTTGTCCAATGCTTAGCGGTCAGATGTAACGACATCTTTCTATTTAACCTGCCTTAAAGCTCACGGAAGAAACATCCGAATGACGTGAAGTCATACTCGGACGTCGCCTTCGAAGTCGTAGCCATACTCGTCCTCGAGCAATGTGATATATGTGAAGGCTTCAGGATTTCTTTGAAACAGCTCACGTAGCTGAAGAGCATAATCACAAAAATCGAGACATGGTACGCGGGTCCTTTCGGTAGTTGCAAGACATTTCATCTGAGGTCTAGTGCTTTCTTCTTGTTATCTGTATTCGACAAGGCCCTGTTTGTTCAAGTCTAGAACAATATTCGTACGATCTGAGGACCATCTGCCATCGACAGGCCAATTCATCTTCACTCGACATTGAGTTTGCAGAAACATCACTGTCCACCTAAATGCTCGCAGGTATTGCTCGAAAGTGGCGAAGTGTCAAAGTTTTACATCTACGATTGAGACAAAGATCTACTTTACAAACGTTTTAGTATTACAAAGTCACCAGCTGCCGTGTAGGAGTGACCTACGTTGGAGCTACCTCGGTTTAATTGACGAGATCGAAGAGCCTCCTCTGGACCTATGTGCTCGACTAGATAATGTACAAGAGACTTGGCAGAATGAACACCAATTTCGTGCTGCAGGTGGATGTCAATCCAAGTAATCAAGATCCTCCTTTATTCCGACCTGTGCACAGCCACAAATTACGAGGTTATGTCTCAATTGCCTAATAAGGTTTTCCTCTTTAATGATCTACGCATCAGATTTATAGCATATTCAGTCAGTTTTCTTTCTTACCTCTGCATATGCTTGCTCCAGCCTTTCCTTCGCTTCAGGAAAGGTGTTCGAACACCACTGCTGGAGAGAAAAAATATTTTCTGGCAAGAATAAACAAAATCAATTTATGTATTGAAAGTGACACCATAGTTCTATTTCGAAAGCAGGTTAAAGAGGAAACCTGCAGTGCAACATCTTGCTCGAAAGCAGTACCTTGACTCCAGCATCTTTAAAAAATTTGTGATCACTTTCTTCCTACTTGTACCAAAATCTAGATCTTACAATCCTATATACTGGAAGGGAGCGGACCTGTCCACCGGTTAACAGCTTTGTGCGCCACCTCAGTTACGCTGCCTGAAAAAAAAGTGGAGTTGTACACTCAGATTAGGCGGAACAAAAGGTGTAGAACCTCTAATGAGAGAAATCCGTCTGAACAATTTATTTCTTAACGATTTATGATATATATCATTTGCTATGTAAACCTTGCAACAGTATAAGTTCCGAACCCTGTTTTGAGAAGCAAACTTCTTCAGGTTTTAATGTAGTCAGATACTTAGGTGCATACTAAAATTATGGTATGATATGGCTTACTCATTTCTTCGTAGACAGCAGGATCGTTTTGGGCATATAGATCAAGCTCTTCCTGCGCAGGATTTGCAGTTGCACTAGTGTTACTTCTAGATGTGAAGCTAACGTGTTTTCGAACATCAATCTATGCCGGGAAACTCAGATCGGAAACAAACCTTGATAGCATTGTGCTTTTTCTGAAGCTCATTCAGAGCATTCAACGCTGACTCTCGCTCACTCTGCACATTCCACACAGCAGCTTTCAGCAGACAAAAAACATTAGAACAAAATGGGCTGCACGTGAGGCGGCTGCTGTCAGTTTATGCAAGTTCTTCTTCCTTCCAATTCGGAAAAATAAAAGTGTATATCCACTTTGTATCCTACTACGCACAGAATCTTCTCTCCCCTTCTTCGCAAGCTCTCGTTGTGTTTGCAAGTCTGCTTGGCGTTTTTTCGCTGCCTCCAACTCGGTTTCCAGCTTCATTCGCACTTGCCTTAACTGTCCATTCAGAGCCCAAACAAGGGTATATAAACTTCAAAGACTCA